TCTCAGGGACACCGAGCAGCCCAGATTGCAGCCGAACCCAGCGCCAAGCAGAGAGGGCAAGAGAATGACAAGCATGGTCCTGGGGGGCCGCGGACGCATGGTCACTGCAGGAGCAGTGGTGGAGGCGGCTGTGAGTTGGACCCTGGCAGGGAGCAAGACCCAGAGGCTGGTGGAGGAAACAGGTAGAGGAAGGGGAGGCTATTGGGGCGGGGATGGTGGTGCCGGGGGTGTGGCAGGCTCCAGGGCCCAGCTGGACACAAGCACCCAGATTCGCCTGGCCAGGCCTGGGCAGCCCAGCCTCAACCACACCAGGCATGGGCTGCCCAGAAGAGGAGACACTCCGCCTAGGGTGGGCCCCAGAACCTGGCGGGCCAGGGTCCTGTCCTGGGATTGTTCCAGAAATCAAGGCTGGAGCTTGAGACTGGGGTCTTCCCCAGGTCTCCCACCCTGAGGGGAGAGCAGCTGGTGGTGGACACCACCCTCAGGGAACTGAGAGGCCAGAAGTGGAGAGGGGCTGGGGGCCGGCTCTACAGCCCCCAGGCCCCCACTGCAGCCCCCAGGCCGCCCTTGGCTGTCAGCTTAGGGCCTATCTTTAGCCACCATGGCCTCGTAGGATGCCCTGCAGCCCCCTCTTGGCCTGGGCGAGCCCTGGAGGAGTTCTTCACTTGGATAGGTGCATGGTTTACAGTGAGGGATTTGGCTTGCCAGCAACCGCATGCCCCTTGGAAGCCCCTTTTTCCACCCCCAGCGGCCCTGCTCCTACCCCCGCACCCATCCCAGCAGCTAGTCCGAAGCTCCCCGTCTCCAGGGATGCTCCCAGCCCCCCTCCAGCAGAAGATCTTTCTGGAAACACCCTTAGGTTGAGCCTCTGTCCACTCTACTGGTGTAACCAACAATAGGGAGCTCCCAAGGACCCCAAAAAGGCAGACATTGTAAGGGGGAAACTGAGGCCCAAAGTGTCCATCAAACAGTTGTTCTAGTCTCTGTGAGCTGTTCTAGCAAAAGATTGAACCTGAAGAGAGGGTCATCAGACCTCCCATTTGTCATAACCAAGGCATTCGGAAGTCTTGGGTAACCTGGAGATCCACCCCTTGTGACTGGTGTCTGAAGTCAGGGCAGTCAAGGGCGACTGAGCCCTTAACTTAACCCACAAGTGAAGTGCCGGAGGCATTCTGAGTTACAGTATAGAAGAAAAACTTTCTTCCATACCCCCAGCTTCTCTGGCCTCGGGGCTCCACCTCCTTCCCAGTTCAACATCCCCTGACCCTTTTCTCATTTGGGGTAGTCAAGTCCCTGGGCTTGGCCAGTGGGCACCTTGCTCAGCTGCCAGGGATCTGCCTTTGCTAGGTGGAAGAAAAGCTGGCATTGGCCGGGCACAGTGGCTCACGCCTGTAATCCCAGCACTTTGGGAGGCTGAGGTGGGCGGATCATGAGGTCGAGAGATCGAGACCATCCTGGCTAATACGGTGAAACCCCGTCTCTACTAAAAATACAAAAAACTGGCCGGGCAAGGCAGTGGGCACCTGTAGTCCCAGCTACTCAGGAGGCTGAGGCAGGAGAGTGGAGTGAATCCAGGAGGCAGAGCTTGCATTCAGCAGAGATTGCTCCACTGCACTCCAGCCTGGGCGACAGAGCGAGACTCTGTCTCAAAAAAAAAAAAAAAAAAAAAAAAAGAAAGAAAGAAGGAAAAGAAAAGCTGGCATTGCAGCACATGTCCCCAATTCCGCGCCCCCTTCCTGCTCCGAACAGCACCCAGAATCAGCTGGTGCAGCATCATCAAAGACTAAGTTTCCCAGCCTCCCCTGCCGTCAGGTGTGATCACAAGACTACATTGGGCCCAGGAAGGAGGGAAGATGGAGCAGGTGAACTGGGTGGGAATTCTGGGAAGTCTCTACACAGGGGACGGGTTGTGCCCTGTTGTCCTTTGCTTCTGCCTCATTCCTGGAACACAGATGTGAAAGCTGGAGCTCAAGTTGCCACCCGGGACCATGAGGTAAGGCTGGCGGCTTCCCATGGTTGTGGGGCTGTCATGCCAGCCCTGAGAAAAAGGAAACCCTGTGGATTAGGTGGGTTAGGCATAGTCGTCTGGGGTTTCTGGGGTCACAGGCAGCCTGTGCTGGGCCTCACTAGGACACACTGTGACTGTTGAAACCATGACTCATGATGCACACTGGGAGTATACCCTGGTCAAAGGAACAGGCGTTGGCAACAAGGAGTTTCAGAATTATTCAGTTCTTGGGTTGACACTTCTCAAAAGCCCCTATCTTCCTCTGCCTCTTCTGTCTCGGGGAGGCCCTCTTCAAAACTTCCCTAAAAATCTTCCCTGGCTTAAACCTGGGGCCTCTTGCCTTCTCACCAGAGCAGCTGTCCCCCCACAGAAACCCCAGGACACTTCTGCCTTTCCTCTTCCCGTTTGACCTGTCATCTGGTCTGCATCCCTGGCTTGCATCACCAACATCCAGGGGTGGGAGAGGCCAGGACAGAGCCCTCCTCCAAGGGAGTGAGCAAGGAGTCAGAAAAGGCCGGGAAGACTTCTTCTGAGGGATGGAGTCACCATCCGAGCAGAGGGGTCCAGTGAGGCATGAATACACAGACACACCTGATGCAGGGGGCTCCGTGACTGGAAACTGACACACGGAATTTGCCCTATAATTGTCAGCACAGAGGCAGAGGGGGTGACTTGTCAAATCTGGGACAATTTAAGCATCATCAAGAACAATGACTAGGGGCCAGGCATTGTCCCAGCATTTTGGGAGGCTGAGGCAGGCAGATCACCTGAGGTTGGGAGTTCAAGACCAGCCTGACCAACATGGTGAAACCCCGTCTCAACTAAAAATGCAAAAATTAGCTGGGCGTGGTGGTGTGTGCATGTAATCCCAGCTACATGGGAGGCTGAGGCAAGAGAATCACTTGAACCTGGGAGGCAGAGGTTGCAGTGAGCTGAGATTGCGCCATTGCCCTCCAGCCTGGTCGACAAGAGCAAAACTCTACTCCTCCTCATCCTCCAGAGAACCCCTGGGTGTCCTCCAGTGCATGGCTGGGGCCAGCCAGCGTCTCAGGGCTCGGGAAAGTGCCTGCCGTGACCCTTCAAGTCCACGCTGCACTCTGGTGTTTGCTTTGCCTTCTAATGTGCCCCAGACTGAGAGTGACTTGAAGCGGGGCATGTGGCGGGGACCCCCTGGCCCGGTGCCAGTGTGGCCCATGGAACATGCTTCATAAATCTAAAGGAGCCATCAGGTGTTGGACCGGGAGGGGTCTGCCTGTGCCAGGCCTGGCCCCCAATCCCAGGCCCACATCCTGAGGGCCACCACATGGTCACCACCCCCAGTGCCTGAGCCTTCCCTAGGGCCGTCCTCCTTAGGATCTGGGCATCTGCCCCCCACACCTGTTGTCCTGGGAAGCTGGGAGGCCTGGGGCCCCCACTCTCAAAGCCTAGCCTTCCGGCCACTGTCTCTCTACAGTTACAGAGCAAAGACCCCACCACCACCCCCGCTACCGTCACCAGAGGAGCAGCCCTGCAGGCCCACACAGTGTGGTCACACGTGGCTTGGGAGACAGCCGCACCCCACATGCAAGGTAGCCCTTGGGAACTTCTGCTCCACACCCACCAGGTGGGGAAGGCCAGAGCTGGCTGTTCAGGGCGTTTTAGTGCCAGACAAAAGCAAGGCCCTGTGGCTGCCCGGGAGGTGGAGCAGGCCACACTGGCCCCGTGCACAGGGGCTCTTCGGGTCCCTGGTCCCATCCTCCCAGCTCTTTCCAACTTTGCCCCCTGGACATTTCTTGCTCTGACCCTCCCCTCCCTTATTCCTGGCCTTGTCTCCCCTGGGCCCAGGCCGGCCCAGACTGACTGGACAAGTTAGCAAATCACCAGCTTTGGCTTCTGGAGGGTCCAGATGGGCCAGGAGAAAGGCTGGTGAGCCTACTGGACAGCAGGGTGGTTTCTGATGCACACATCAGGATGTGAAGTTGTGCCCCGTGTCTGCAGCTTGGACCTCACCACTGCTGTGTCTGGGCCACAGGGAGCTGTTCTGATGCGTGACTCAGCCGTGGGCTGTTCTGGTGACTTCCTGTGTGAAACCTGCTCTCCTGTTGGTGAGGGGTTCTCTGGGTATGAATCGCTATGCCGGGGTCAGAGCAGGGAGAGCCAGCTCCCTGACGGGCTTCTCAGAGACAACACCAGGTGCTGCACGGCCTGGGGCAGCCCCCACTGGTCCTGGAGGCCTGGTAGGAAGAAGCAGGGCTGGTCCACACCTCCAGGCTCCTGCCTGTCCTCCACCCCAGCCTGGCTTCTCCACTTGGCAGGGGCAGGGGAGCTGGTACACGGCTGCCAACCCCCCAGCTCATGCCCACAGCTCCTGCCACCCGAGAGGCCCAACTTTCCTTTCCCAGAACCCAGTGAAGGACCCAAAGAGAGGATTCCGCTGACCTCACTTGAATCAGCTATCCCCGGACTGCCTGGCAAAGGCCAGAAGGCATGGAGGGTGACAATGGCCTGAGCGGGGTCCGGGTGCCACTCCTGGACCCCTCAGCTGGGGGTGCAGAGGAGCCCCGGTGAACATGACAGACTACCCAGTGGGGCGCAGGAGGAGGCAGGTCCCAGGGAGCTGCTGGGGCCACCGACAGGAACCCACAGCTATCCCTGGCCACCACCCCCGCTGGCCTGATGTGGGCTCTGCCTATTGCTGCTCCGAGGGTGGGGCTGCCCTGGCCCAAAGACCCGGGAGGCCAGTGACCCCATGAGCAGCGGCCTGTGGAGGCATGTGTTTGCACCAGATCCCCTAGAGGATCACAGCCCCCTGGGCAAGTGTTTCTGGAAAGCCAAGGTGGACCCTGCCCTGAGACCTGCGCCTCCCCGCCAGGGCAGTGGGGAAGCCCAACTTTCCAGGGATTCCACTGCCACCCACACAAAACCCTCTGAAATCGCTGTCCAGAGGCAGCCTCCAGCCATGCGGCCCTGCAGCACGGGCAGCTGTGATCCACGTGTCTGGGGGAAAGTGCAGACTGGGGGCTCAGCCTCCACTGGGCTCTCCTGGCCGTGGGCGCACCCACCCAGGACGGTGGCTGTCTTGACTCAATGACCGTCCCTGCTGCAGTGCTGGGCAGTGTCGCTTGGAGACATTTGTGGTCCCCAGTTGCTTCCCCCAGCCCAGCCCTGTCCCCTCTGCTGAAACAGCCTGGTTTGGATGGAGCTTGGCAGGCTCGGGAGTGGGCACCTGGTGGGGGTCTGTGCCCTGAAACCCAGAAGCAGCTTGGAGGTGAGGGGGGTTGTGGGTGCTGTCCACAGCCAGCTGGCGTTTTCTAAGGAAACCGGGCCCACCAGGGCTGGGAGCCCCACAGTGAGGGGGACCGTCCCAGGCCACTCTGCCTGCCCACCCTGCAGTTCCCACAGGGCCCCTCACAGAGAAGCCCACCCGCAGGGCCCCTGGGCCAGGCCAGGCTTGGCTCTGGATGCAGGAGGGGTTGAGGTAGGGCTAGGGGAGGAATGTGGAGTGTGCGGTCAGCTATTCTTCCCACATGGCCCTGCCCCAGGAAGGCGGAGGCGGGGAGAGGAGGGTGCTTGTGTGCAGTGGCTGTGCTGAGCCCTCCAGGACATGCAGGTGCCATCCTGGTCCCGGGGCTGCAGTGGGCAGACTCGGCCTCTCCACACCTGGCACCCCAGACAAGGACTACTGGGAGGACACAGCCTCTGGGAAGTCACCCTGCTCCATGCTTGCCTGGCCCAAGAGCTGGCAACACGAGGCCTGAGCTACAGAGGAGCTAGATTTTGTCTTTCCAGGGCCCCTCCCTGCCACGTGTCCCGCCTTGCCTGTCTCGGGACAGCCGCCGTGCTGCACCAGGCCCTAGCCCCTGCCTAGGAGCTCCTGAGTGAGTGGAGCCTGGCTCTGGTGCTGTTATTGCCAACAGAGGTAAGTCTGGGGTTTCCTGCCACTCCCACCCCCAGGAAGATGACGAGACCACACTGTCATCACCAGTGAGATACCCCAGCCCGGGTTGCCTAACCCCAAGCTCAGCCCTGGTTGTGGTTAGGGGAGTTCTAGAGAGAACATAATTGGACCCCTGCTACTTCCTGAAACCTTAGCTAGGACAGCAGGGAGGGGTGTAAGGCCAGCCGCACAGGCGGGGCCCTGGGTAAGTAGCTGGGCTCTGCGTACTGGGGAGTGGGCCTGGGGGCTCAGGCCCTGGGATGGGGCTGAGGGCTGGGAGCTGGAGGGGGCAGAGGGGGATCTGAAGGCAAAGGTGATTTGTTGGTAAAAATGGAGGCTTTGTTGAGGGTTCTTAATCTGGGATCCCTCCCAAGAGATAACCCAGGACCCCCAGTGACCACAGATGTGAAGGGGGTAGAGGATTTGGGGGAGAGGGACAATGGCTTCCATTACACCTTTGTCACCACCACCTTCCTGGAGAATTTCTTCTGGAAAAGGCTTCCCTGGCTACTGGGCCAGATGGTGGTGAGTCAGGAGGCTGGACTTGTCCCTGGAATCTCTCCTTGGCCACTTGCTTCCATGATTGGTGGGGGGCACTGAAGGGCCAGGCTTCTCTCTGTGGGGCCTGTGCTGCTTGTGGGGTTACACAGAGGGAGAAGCAGGACAGTGGGGGCTGTGCTGGGGTGAGTGGCCGTTGGCCCAGTCACGTGACAAGATCCTGGGTCTGGGCAGGTCACCGGCCTCTGGGTTGGTATCCGGCACACAGGGTGCAGCAGTGGGGGCCATAAATTCTGTCAAGTGCATGACATGGGTCTGCACCACTGCAAGGGGCTGGGACTGACTGCTGAAGACCGGCCAGTTGGGCTGAGCACAAAATGATGTTTCAGAAGATTGGCCAGGCCTAGGTGGGAGGGCAGAGGCTCCTGGAAGGAGTTGAGGATAAGGGCTGGGCACAGGGGCTCACACCTGTAATCCCAGCACTTTGGGAGGCCGAGGCAGGCGGATTACCTGAGGTCAGGAGTTCGAGACCAGCCCGGCCAACATGGTGAAACCCTGTCTCTACTAAAAATACAAAAATTAGCCAGGTGTGGTCGAACACGCCTGGAATCCCAGCTACTCAGGAGGCTGGGGCAGGAGAATTGCTTGAGCCCTGGAGACGGAGGTTGCAGTGAGCCGAGATCGTGCCGTTGCATTCCTACCTGGGTGACAGAGCGAGACTCGTCTCAAAAAAAAAAAAAAAAAAAAAAGGAAGAAAAAAAAGATAAGAATAGGGATAGGATAAGATGAGATGGGATAAGATAAGAACTCAGAGTGCCTGAAAGACTCACCTCACCAGCAGTCAAATAAACGCAAATGTGTCTCTGAAAGATACATTAAAAAAAATCTATCAAACTGGGGCCAGGCGCAGTGGCTCACGCTTGTAATCCCAGCACTTTGGGAGGCCAAGGTGGGCGGATCACTTGAGGTCAGGAGTTCAAGACCAGCCTGACCAACATGGTGAAATCCCGTCTCTACTAAAAATACAAAAATTAGCTGGGCGTGGTGGCACACGTCTGTAATCCCAGCTAGTTGGGAGGCTGAGGCGGGAGAGTTTGAACCCGGGAGGCGGAGCTTGCAGTGAGCCAAGATTGGGCCATCGCACTCCAGCCTGGGCAACAAGAGCAAACGTCCGTCTCAAAAAAAGAGAATCTATCAAATTGAGAAAAATAAGAAAGTTGACTCTGGGATTTGGACGGGCGTGGTGGAGCAGGGAGATTGGAGCCGGTGACTCAACATTTCCCTCCCTAGGGTTTGTCTCAAACGTGACGGCAGAAACGAGGTCACAGTGAAAGACGGAAATGGCTAGAAATGGCCAGCAACCGTGAAACAGCTTAGAAATTACAGGCAGTCCAGCCGGGTGCAGTGGCTCACGCCTATAATCCCAGCACTTTGGTAGGCTGAGGTGGGTGGATCACCTGAGGTCAGGAGTTCAAGACCAGCCTAACCAATATGGTGAAACCCTGTCTCTACTAAAAATATAAAATTAGCCCGGCATGGTGGCACATGCCTGTAATCCCAGCTACTTGGGAGGCTGAGGCAGGAGAATCACTTGAACCCAGGAGGCGGAGGTTGCAGTGAGCCGAGATCGTGCCATTGCACTCCAGCCTGGGAAACGAGAGCGAAACTCCATCTCAAAAAATAAAGAAAGAAAGAAATTACAGACAATCCACAAGACAGACCTCAGCAGCCTGAGGAGCTGTCTTTGGCACACAGGATGGAATGAGGAACTGCTCCCTGCACGTGGCAGGGGTCAGGGCTCCTTCTCCGTCCTCCTGTGTCTGTCTGAAAAGTTTCATAATAAAAAGCTACAAAATAGGCCGGGCGTGTGGTGGTTCATGCCTATAATCCCAGCACTTTGGGAGGCCAAGGGGGACGGATCAGCTGAGGTCAGGAGTTCAAGACCATCCTGACCAATATGTGAAACCCCATCTCTATTAAAAATACAAAAAATTAGCCAGGCGTGGTGGCGGGCACCTGTAATCCCAGCTACTCGGGAGGCTAAGGCAGGAGAATCACTTGAACTCCGGAGGCAGAGGTTGCAGTGAGCCGAGATCGTGCCATTGCACTCCAGCCTGGGCAACAAGAGCGAAACTCCACCTCAAAAAAAAAAAAAGTTACAAAATAGATTTTAAAAGACTGGAGGAGCACAGCAACTGCAGGCCAGAGAGCTCCAGGGACAGTGGCTGGGTGAGGTCACGCTAGATCCTGTTACTGGAATGTCCATCCCAGCAGCATGTGGCGCTTCTCTAATCTGGAAAATGGATTCATTGGCCGGGTGCGGTGGCTCACGCCTGTAATCCCAGCACTTTGGGAAGCTGAGGCAGGAGGATAGTTTGAGCCCAGGAGTTCGAGACCTGCCTAGGCAACATGGCGAAACCCTATTTCTATTAAAAATACAAAAAATTAGCTGGACATGGTGGTGTGCCTGTAGTCCCAGCCACTCGGGAGGCTGAGGCGGGAGAATCGCTTGAACCTGGGAGGTAGAGGCTTCAGTGAGCCAAGATCGTGCCACTTTACTCCAGCCTGGGTGGCAGAGCAAGACTCCATCTTAAAAACAAAAGAAAAAGAAAGAAAAGGCAAATGAAAAAAAAGAATGAACATGGGTTCACGGAAGAAGCACGGAAAGTGCGAGGCAGAGCAGCCTCGGAGCCCGCACACTGAGAGCAGGAGAAAGGCGAGTTGGACACTGGAGAGAGAAGACCAGAGAGCAGTGGAGGGCTGGCCTCAGTGGGCTGCCAAGGTGTGGCTTGAAGATGGAGCTGAACAGGGACGCATTTGCCCAGCATGGAGGCTGGGAGATGAGGGGCTTGGTCATTTGCTGAGGGGAGGTGGAGGCAGGGGCCCAGGGCCAGCAGGGGTGGGAGATGCAGCTGGAGCTCAGGGGTGGGTGGATGGGGATGTCAGGCTGACCTGGGCCCAGCCACACTGTGGCCTTGTGGCTGGAGTCATCCGAGGGACCTCACCATGGCCATCATGTCTGGCCACGCTGCTCTGAATCCAGGTGGAGTTGGACGGTGATAAGGGGGCTTCAGCCTGTCACAGTTCCTCAGAGCAGACCAAAACCAGAGTTACGCAGAGTCCACCAGGTCAGGCTGGCATTGCTGGTGCTGTGAGCATGGTGGGCTGTCCCCTACCCGAGCCTCCGGCGGGCTGGGGGCGCCTTGCTGCCGTTTCAGGAGTGAAAGTCTGCACTGGGCGCCTTTCCCACAGGGCTTGGTCGCTCCCACCCATCCCACAGCTGAGAGGAGCCCCACCGGTGGGCCAGGCAGCTGGGGCGATGAGAGGAAGGGGCGGTCTCCATGCACAGCCCAGGCAGGGCTTCCCCCACCCCAGGAGGGTGGTGCCTACTTCCTGAGTGGAACAGCACAGGAAGCCTCTGCCTGGCCTTGTCCTTCCACTTGAAGACCCAGCCCCAGAGGAAGCTGAGAGAGGACCCGGGCCCCACTGCACCCTCCCCAGAAAGAGTAGTGCGTGAAATGTGGGCAGCCTGCTCTAACCCATGCCCGTTTCTGTGGAGGAAACAGCCCTGGCCCCGGCCGGGACAGACCGCTACACTGCAGCTGGCGGGTGGGGCCACTGGGCTGGCCGGAGAGAGGGCCCTGAGCCCCTATCCTGAGCTCACTCACCTCGAGGGGAGGCAGAGGCTCCCCAAGGCTCCCCAAGGCAGTAGGAATAGCAGGTGCGGCAAACTGATGGTGAGCAGGTGCTGGCGGGACCCCAGACCCTGGTCCAGGAAGGCCCTCAGAAGAGGCCGGTGGGCTGCCTGAGGCTGTGGACCTGTCCGGCAGGGAACGCCAGACAAAGCTTGAACGTGTTCTGAGAAGCGAAGGGCTGGTGCAGGGCTCCCCTGACGCCCAAGCCTGTTTGGCCATGTGTGGTGAGGAGCTGGACCTCGGTGCGAGCGAGTTGGGACGTCCCAGTGGGCCCAGCTCTCTGGCTGCCCTGCCCTGGGTTGGTCCCACCAGGCCTCCTGCTGGGCCCACTGACTCTTTCCAGGCATCCTCGCCAGGCTGTCGGTGCCCAAAGGTCAGGCACGTGGCGGGATCTGGACATCAGCAGCTCGAGCCACATGGGCCACACGGGACCAGTTGGATGGGAAGGTGGCTCCGGCTCCTGCCCCTGGCTATTCTCTGCTCTCAACATACAGGCCTGGAGCCCAGAGGGGCCTCTTTGTGAAAGCCTCCGCCTGGGGCTGGGCCTCGAGGGGACTGTGCATTTTCACTTCAGCTGCCACTTCCTTTGGTTTTGCAGAAGTGCTTGCAGTCCTCTGCCCCAGGTTTGCTGGCTGGCATCAGGGTGACCGGGCGGCACAGCCCTGGACCAGCAAGAGCTCATCCTCCCAGGTTTGGGAGGGTTTCCAGAACCCTTGGTCCAGTTAAAGGCAGACTCCCCGGGAGCCCCTTCCTGGGCGGCTCAGTCATTCTGATGGGGTCCAGGGGCCTCAGGCAGCAGCTCCATGTGCTCACTCCAGCTCATTTGACAGGAGAGGTCCCTGTCTCCTGTTATGCAGAATTTGAAAGGTGGGGAGGGGGCGGCTGCAGAATCGGAGTAGACAACAGCGAGCAAAAGTATGCGGGCTTCTAGGGCCCCTGAAGCAGGGCTCAGCAGCTGAGGAGGGAAGCCAGGCCCGGTGTGAGGCTGGTGGGGCCCCCCACACCCCTGGGGCTCAGAAGGAACTGGACTGGTCGCAGTGGCTCTGGCTTGTCCCCAGCCCACTCGGCCCCCCTGCCTGGCTGGGGGTCTGCCTTCCTTGACCCTTCTGGTTCCACTCACTGCTTCCTCACCTACTGACCCCCTCTGTTTTGGGCATGGCCAGAGAGCCCTGCGTCTCTTGCTGGACCTTGGAGCTGGGCGCAGCAGCCAGACGACAGGGCCACACAGATCTTAGCAGAGCAGCAACCGGGAGGGCAGCGTCCAGCACACAGGCACCCGAGGGAGAGTCTGAAGACCCTCAGCGCTGCCCCACTATTTCCACTCAGGGGGCTGGCCCGAGACGCAGGGAGCAGTGCATATTCACTCCAGCCACTGGGAGGGTGGGGGCAGAATGGGTAGCCCAGGAACCCCTCCAGCCCACACCACCCACTGCCAAGGGGGCATCACTTTGGAGATGGCTTTTCTGGATTCTTTCTTGATTCAGTGTCTCATTTTTTAATGTGTTTTCAAGGTATTGCTTTAAATTCTCCAGAAGTTCACGAGCTTCCTGTGGTCATGGCCTCCTGTTTTTCCCGTTGTTAAAAAATGACGAGACAAGTCTCAATCATTTTAGGAGTTTTATTTGCTAAAGTTGAGACCACGCATCTGTGACACAGCCTCGGGAAGTCCTGATGACATGTCCAGGGTGGTCGGGCACAGCCTGGTTTCATGCATTTTAGGGAGACAAGAGACATCAGTCAATATATGTGAGACATACATTGGTTCCGTCCAGAAAGGTGGGGACAACTTGAAGCAGGGAGGGGGCTTCCCAACTATCTGTCTCTCACCTACCTGTGGGTAGGTCACAGGTAGGTGGGAGACAAATGGTTGCATTATTTTCAGTTTCTGATAGGTCTTTCCAAAGGAGGCCATCAGAATATGCATCTGTCTCAGTGAGCAGAGGGATGACTTTGAATAGAACGGAAGGCAGATCGGCCCTGAGCGGTTCCCAGCTTGAAGGGGCCCGAGATACTTTTCTTTAACAGAAATATACTTGAAAGGGCAGCTGGGGATGTCAACACACAGGCAGCCCTACCTGCTGGCCCAGAGCCCTTGGTGTGGGTGTGCCTGGTTTCTGCCTCACTCTCAAGCAGCTTCCAGAGAATTCTTGCAAGAGCCACGTGGGACAGGTGGGAAGAGCAAATGGCTCCAGGGAGCGCCTCTGGCCAGCCTTTCAACATACAAGCCTCAGGCCCAAAGGGGCCTTGCTGTGTAGGGGCTCTGCCAGTAGCTGGGGCCTGGCCCTGCCCTTTGAGGGGAGTGTGTCCCAGGGGACTGACTGCACCTGCTGGCTTCCCATGAGGGTCTCGGCTGACAGAGGGCAGTACCAGGCAGCATGGGGTGGGGGTCGGGCCTGGCACTAGGCAGGCAGGATTGAAGTTAGTGAGGCAGCTGCCAGGCTCAGCCTCCATCCCTGCACTGCAAGGCCCGGAAACAGCAGAGTGAGACCCTCAGGCTTTGCAGGGCTTTGGGAGAGGCACAAACACTATCTGAGAATGGGTTCAGGGCACTCTCCTCCCTGCAAACCCTCTTTGGCTGGTCAGGGTGGTGCCGGTTTTAGAGGCATCTCAGGTTAAGGAAGGAAGCAGAGGGTTGTTAGTGGGGCCTGAGGTCATCGGCGTGGCCTGAGACCGGCAGGTCGACCTCGCGCTTGCTGGCCAGTCCACCCCGCCCGCCGTCTGTGCTTCCTCCTGCCCAGAACGCCCGCTCCAGCGATCTCTCCACTCTGCTTTCAGAAGTGCCCTTCCTGCTGCGCAGTTCTCCCCTCCCGGGACGGCGGCAGTATTGAAGCTTGTGACAAGTGCCTTCACACAGACCCCTCACAACTGTCCACGCGTGCCGTGGCACCAGGCACCGCCAACCTGCGGGCCCCGGCCGCCCCTCCTCGTAAAAGTGCATTTTTGTAAATGTGTGCATATTAAAGGAAGCACTCTGTATATTTGATCTAATAACGTCAACATTCTGGCCTCCCTTGTTCTTTGGGTGCTGTTCCCTTTGCATTTAGAGTGAGACTGGGAGAGAACCGCGCCGGCAGTACGGTGTGAGGCAGTGGGGCATGTGCTGGGTGTTGGCCCACATGGCTGTGGTGGCTGTGGAGGGTGAGACGGTCCTGCTGAGTCAGGGCCTGCCAGGGCCTCGAACGCATTGCCAAGTTGGTGGATGCAGGTTTGGCCAAAACCATTCTGGGAATGGGGAGGGGGGTGTCTAGGTGCCTGGCACCTGACCCTGACTACAAACAGCTGAAAACAGTTTTATAAAATAGTATAAAATTGCTTACCCACGAATACCTATCAAAGTCTTAAAGAATTAACAGTTCAAAATTTTTATTCATTCATTTATTCCTTTGTTTTGCTTGTTCATTCAGAGGCAAGGTCAGCATTTGAGAGACTGGAGGCAGGAGAGAAGCAGCCCTTCCACCTGGCCCTGGAGCTGGTTTTGCCTCTCACTGCTTGAGCCAACTGGAACATGGCATGGTGGCCTCAGGGCTGGGCATGGAAGGCCGACTCCAAGGCTGACTCCGAGCCGTCTGTCAGTGACGTGCAAGTCTTTAACCTGCTGTGAGGGGCAGGAGGTCAACTGAGTCAAGGAGCAAAGCCAAGAACCAGATCTGTACAAAAAAGAAGAAAAAAGTCCTGCCAACAGCCTGGAAGTGAGGCTGCCTTGCAGAGGCAGAACAAATGAATAAATGAATGAATGAATAAAAATTTTGACCTGGTAATTCCTTAAGACCTGCTGGTTGCTGCAGAAGTGACTCTGGATGTTGAGCACTGCTGCTAGGGACTCCAGGAAGCTGTGCAAATGAGCTATGGTGTGCACTCCAGGGGCAGTCTCTCTCACTCCGGCTGGAGTCCTCCCATCAGCTCCACCACCGTATTGAGCCAGGTCTGCAGGGACACACAGAGGAGCTGGTAGGAGACCCTGCTTGCCATCGGCTGCTCACAAGCCCAAGGCTTGTGCCATCAGGGTGAGGGCAGGGGTTAAACCCGCCTCCTGCCTTGGCCCCAAGGAGTTGGCCAGGCAGTTCAGGCAGAAGGCCAGCCCCTGAGGAGTCATGTACACCATGACTCGTGTGGACATGAAGCCCATGTTCCCACCACCAGGTTGGCCAAAAAGACGGCAAGCTTTGCGTTTCCTTTTAAACGGCGTTTACCTAACTTGCAGTTCCCTAGGTTCCTGGTGGAACCAAATGCAAATCACCTTTGTCATAGACCTCTGTACGCCTCATGAATGATTTTTCAAGGTCAGTGAGTAGACCACAATCAAACCAAGCACACGGGAACCTGGCACCATGATTGAAATGCGTGCAGAGGCATCTGAGTATACTGGAATTCTCAGACATGGATTGTAAAAAGCTTGCTGTGCTCAAAGACAGCTTGGAAAAGCTGATAGGCCAAACAAACTTCAACCTAGCACCAAGTAGAACTTCTGGAAATGAAAAAAAAATACAATCTTTAAACACTCCAGAAGTAGTTTGGCAGCCACTCTTAGACACTGCTAAAGAGAGAATTTGTGAACTAGAAGATAAGTGAGAAGAAATGATCCAGGCTACCCGCCAGGACAAGAGATAGAAAATAACATCAGCAGCTGAGGAGGGGGCCCCAGGCAAGGGCCTGGCAGGGGCTGTCCTGAGACCCATGGGAGCCCATCAGGCATGGAGTGAGCAGTGAGTAGGTGTGGCAGGTATAGCAGGTGTCATGGGTGGGGCTGGGTTGCCTAGTTACTTCTGCAGGAAGTGTCCCACAGACCTGCACCTCCCTGGCTGTGCCAATGTGTTCCCCCAATTCTGGGGAAGCCCCTGTAACCTCGGGGAGATGCATCTGGCTTGGAATCTCACAGGACGTAGACTGGCCTCTGTGCCTGTGTAAGGGTGTGCGGCTGTTGGAGGGGTGGCCCTCAGGGATCAGCATGCACCAAGTGTGCATGGGTTGAGCTGAGAGCCTCTGCCGTTGCCTGCATGTGTCCATGGTGGGCAGGCCTGCCACCCCAACCCCAAGCTTGTTGTCCAGTGTCCTGAGCCCACTGGGAGTTCATGACCTGCCTCCTCCCCATACTCAGTCATAAACCACCACTTAGGTGACCTTGTACCTTTTCAGGCCTGGCTGGTGCCTGGCCATAGCCAGCCCATGTGGATGGCAGTGCCAAGAGGTCCAGGCCCGACCGGCAGGCTTACTGCTCACTGTCTCACGCCATGCCAGGGTGGATGATGGGGCTCTTCTTCATCTCAGTGCTACCACCCCCATGGTGTGGTCATAAGCCAGGCTGGGTTCTGGCCCAACCCCCTGGGGTGAGCCTGGCAGTCCCCTCCTTCGGACCCTAGGCCACCTCCACGCCTCCTGAATGCCACTCACCTGCCTCACAGAGTCCACTATACAGAGGCCAGGGTCCACAAGTGAGGGTTAGGCCCCAGGGTCCATCCTGCTGCCACCAAAGCCTTGTTCCCTTGTGGGGTGGGTGGAAGAGTGGCTGCCCCCAGAGAGGGTGCTGTGTGGTCTGCAAATCTAGTGAAGGAAGGCAGGCTCCCTGGCATCCCCAGGCTGGTGCCAGGCTCCTGGGGCCACTCTGGCTGTGGCTGCAGGAACCCTGGCAGCCACCCCCGCTCTGGCCGCTGGACTTGGGACCTGTGCCACTCCTGTTTGCCCCTCAGGACATGCAGGCGTGCCCTGCCACCCATCCTGGCTGCCGAGTTCCTGGAGCCCATTGCGTCCTGCCCTGCCATGAAGCGGGGATCCCCGACGGCGAGTCTCCCGCTGCCTCCACTCTTTTTGCTCTTCCTGTTGACAGGTCTGGGGTTCTGACCTGCTGTGCAGAGGGAGAGCTCCTCTGTCACTGGGGCACATGTCACCAATATGAGCACCTGGGCCTCCCCAAGCCTACTGGGCAGTGAGCTTGGGGGACATCAGGCTCCAAGGCATGTGCCGGGGATGGCGGGGGTGGGGTAGGCACAGGGCCTGTTCCCCACACTTTGGAGCTGCTCCCAGCTGGGCC